TAGTTTTTTTTTTTTTGGGGATGGGGTGTGGGGAGGGGCGGGGGCGCTAGTAGGGGGGAGGGAGGTTGGGCGATAAAAAACTTAAATTTTTTTTTTTTATAAAAAAAAAAGAAATTATTCTTTCTTTTTTTTACATTTTTCAGGGATAGGAGGGTAGGGGGTGGAGTGAAGTGATAAAAAAAACTTTAATTTTTTTTGTTATTAAAGCTTCTAACAAGATTTCTATTATAATATGAGTAAATATGGGTATCCATATTATCCATTGGGTAACTCGTTTTTATCCATTTAAAATGTGAGTCGAGTCGAGTCGAGTACTTTATCAATTTTTATTTAACTCATTTTTTATCGACTTGATTTGCTCGTTTGGCACTCCTACGTAGGACGTGTGTGTTTATTGTTTAACTTTACTAGTTTATGCATGTGTACCCATCTAAATTGACATACATGGGTACAACACAGAAGACCCTCTAGAACAAGCATTTTGTTGCTGCTATGAAATAGAGTCATCATCCTATAGTGAAGCAGTCTCAGATCCTCCATGCTATGAAGACAGAAATAGTTGTTCTACAAAGTAACAAAACTTGGATATATAGTGGTTCCTCTACCCAAGGGGGAAAGAGGTCTATTGGTTGATAAAATACCTAAGAAGTCACACTTGGAAGCATTTATACTCTTATCTATCAAGCAGTAGTAAGGAACAAGTTTCAGCTGATTGAGCATCATATCCAAATATCACAAGGTCAGATTATTTATTCAAACTCCTAAAATCTCATAGCTCTTCATTTCTCTACTTTATGATTAACAAAATCCAACTAGATTTAACTTACTACCAAAGATGAGAAATTAATATTTTTGTCATTTTCTTCAATAGAGTAGATGAGTTAACTAACCTTGTTACTTGATGAAAAAAATATCCTCTCCTTGCTTTGTTATATGATCAATAGAGCTCAAATTTATGGAACTAAACACAAACTATGTATGCAAGAATATATAACTAATGACACAAATTGGGGTTTAATAAGACCACAATGCCTTTTTTTGTGGGACATGTTTGGTTAGGTGTTGAAAAAACAACTCATGAAAAATATAATAAGCAGATTTGAAAAAATAATTGTTGATAATATGGATATCCATACCAAACAAAGACTAATGCTTAAAAAAAGACTCTTTTGTTGACTGGGGTTAGTTGAGAAAAGAATCTTACTATTAAAAAATTTATAGAGAAAGCAGAAGCATGAATCACTTGTCTACTACAAAGTCCAAATTCATAATTAGGTATAGATTAATTTAATTAGAAAGCTAATCGAAATTTCTCATAAGAATAATACTCTGCTCACTTTATATTACTTTTTCCTTTTCAGTTTTATTTGACACTATTTTCTTATTATTCCGTCCAAATATAATATTAACATTTTTTTATATATAATTTCTTAATTAAAAGCTTTTATTTCTACGCAAATACTATGATATATTTACCATCACGAGTTTCAAAAGTCTTTTTTTTGCTACTTCTATTAAGCTTTGTGAAAATTCAAACGATATGATGAGACAAAGAGAGTAGTTATTTGAATATGAATACTTGCGTGCGGCTGAGATGACAACAAAGGAAAACACTCCAAAAGAAATGATATAATTTTATGTATTTATTCACAAAACAAGTAATCGGAAAGAGAAGAAAAAACAAAACAACAAATGGTTGCCATTTTTTGAACATTCATTCCAAAAATGGGAGTTTCTTAGCTCAAGTTATTTTAGGCTCGATTAATCAAAACCTTTTAAGTGTTAGCAATGTGCTTCAGAATAACTTGTTATAATTGATATACACATAATTTTTTTAATCTAGAAATATTTTTATACAAGTAAAATGATGACAAGAAAAAGAGCACACATGCTCATCTACTCAAATTCTACATAATATTCACAAATAGTTGGGTTGAGACTTTCATCAAACACACTTATAGACATATTACAACGTTGGTGTCAATTTCCGCTTGACTGATTTGATCAAGGAGGGCTAACTCAATGGAATTCATAACCCTTTCAATCTTCTCCTTATTTCCTTGGTCGGGCAGCAGAGTTCTCACTTCCAGGAAGTGCCACATCAGGGAGGATGGTTGCTGAAATCAAAATCAAATAAAAACATGATAGCGGAATGGATTAGAGCTATGTTCAACTAGGCAAATCCGCGCAAACAAAAACCCTTTCTGATTAGGAATGATAATCGCAATGGTACCATAAGTAGGGACTCACAAAAGACTGTAAACAACTGAATTAATCAGAACAACACACATATATTTTGGTTTCTAAGCAGACACTGGCTTAGGGCTCGGCGTTACTCCAATGTGTCTTCTGTTGTTTATCAATTATATCCTCATGTAGAGTTAACTGCAACAACAACTATATTTGTAACATAGTTTTTTTTCCATCTGTTATGTTCAAAGTGAATCCAAAATGTCAAATTTGTATATCAGAAGCACCAAAGAATTAGCCACAAATGTATATCTTGAAAAAGCTGAGATATAGAATAACTTTCATATAGTACAGAGAGTCGTGATGTAGCCGGACTTGAAGAGTAAACACATGATATGCAAATAACTTGAAGAAACAAATCTTGGAACACAAAATGAAGAAAAAGGGAAGAAGTAATAAATTCATCTGTACTCACATGTTTTCTTAGCGTACATGGACCTGAAGCTTGTCTTCTCCTGTCATATCTTCATTCAACTCTGATAATTCTTAATGAATAAACATCTCCAAAACTAGGCAGTAAATCTCACAATTCTGCAGATATAGTCAGACATACAAAAACTCATTTTCAATATATTGATCAAATGGCGCTTACAAAACATTATCCCACTTTAGACACACAAAAAAAAGAGAAAAAGAGTAGTTTATAAATGCCAGCTCCGATTTCAGCTTTTCAACTTGATCCATGTCAAGAGCTTTTTGATTTTCCTCATTCTTTAATCTCTCTAGGAAATCCAGAACATTGGCAATGTCCTTGTGAAGAGCAGAAAATAACACCTGCCAAAATAACACATATCAAATTTTTAAAGCCACATGATACCTACAATTTAATACTTTACAGTTTACTTTATCAAATAACATACCAATGAGTTGTTTGCTTCTTCATTATCTTTTCGTTTTTCCATGTTTCTACTTTTCCTTCCCTTCCTTTCAAGTTCTCAAGACCTGATGCATAATAAAAAGTACATTAAACTTTATTAGGATTAAGAAGATGAAAACATAAGAATATCAATAATTTTCATTGGACAGACATTTTAATCGAAATTAAGAGGTCTTAAGTTGAAGAAAATAAAGGTGAGTAGTCTATTGAATTTTTGAAAGTTTTTGCATAATAAACTTGCAACCATTTTCTTCTTATCAAGTTCATTTCATTAAATTTTGGCTACTCCTTTTTACTATTTTCACGCAAAAAGATTTCCATCTTGCAATGGTTTTCGTATTTGTAAATAAAAATAAAAATTATTCTTATTGAGGTTTTGTCAAACATCAAATGGTGCATAAAGAGAAAGTATAGTATTTTTAGATTCGCACAATTAGTTTCTAACATGTATAATGGACTACAAAACTAAATCTCCCATTTATCATGTGCAATCTCTAGTCTAGAAATCTGATACTCTATCCTCTTCAGACCACATTCTGTTTTCTTTAATTACCCCTCATTTTTAGATTTTATTAGCATTACTATAGTGGGATTTAAAAAAAAAAATTAGGATTTATCCATAAACGAGACCAAGTGGTACCAAACCTTTCCATCTCTCATAACTTATAGTAATATATTTTCATTAGTGAGGGGGATTTTTCGTCCTCTTAGAAAAAAAATTTAAAAGATCTGCTTCTATTCACTCCGCTCTCTCCAACCCCCTCCCTCTCACCCAGTAAGAATTCACCCTTACCAGATGTTAATACCAAACTAATACAACTTATCATGAGAAAGTAATAATTTAATGAGGTGAATATATACATTAACTAACTAGGATTAAGTGATTATGTCATGCATATTTGTTGTAAATAGCCAGTGTGAGTAAGTATTTAGTCCTCTCTTTCTCCTGCATTTTGTTTCCCTTTATAGATCCAACTAACCTACCAAATTTCTTTCATTTTCCTTACATCACTTTTACTTTTCCATAATTTTACTTCAATAGAGATGAGAGTAGCAAATATGAAACAAACTATTAGATGAGTAGACTAACCTTTTTAGTTGATGAAACTATATATCCTCTGCTTGCTTTGTTATTAGATCTATAGAGCTCAAAATTCTGGAAATAAAAGAGGAATAATTAAGACAAAAAATGATGCATAGTATTATTCCAAAAAGTCAAGAAAGCAAAAGCATGAATCAATTACAGTGGGCAGATTGTTGTTTATCATTTTAGTTTTAAAAAGATTGTTTATTCAACTTGTCGTAATTGGCTAACGATGAATTTGAAAGGCCACCACCAACGTACAGAAAGAAGAATCAAATTGATTGACAGTTCATCCAATAATATTAAAATCCAAGGAGCAGAGCTGTTGAAAATGAACAAGTGGTTCAGCAGGGGCGGCTCAAACCCGTTGGTGGCCTAAGGCCAAAATTAAACTAGAGGCCTTAATAAAATTTTAAAAAATTAAATATGTTTATATTTTAAATCTATTTTTCTAACTTTTTGAGATGCAAAGTTGTTAATATTTTTTGTGTAGTCATTCTCTTCTAATAGTTCTTTTTTGATCGATAATATAGCCAAACCACTTAATCTTTCTTGAGACATTATTGATCTTAAATAAGATTTTATTCTAATTGGTCCCTTTTCTACTAATAAGTCTCTTAACTTTGTATCAACAATATTCCATTGACTAGGATCATAGATATTTTTAGGAGTATTGATTATTTAATTCATTTATAAGTTCTTGATTTTCTTGGGAATCTACATCCGACTTTTCAATAATTTCCTCTCCTTCTTCTTCTTTTTGGTTTATATCATTATCTAACTCAACTTCAACTATAAGTTAGTGATTTGTTCTTCTAAAGAGCATTACCCAACCTTTTTGATTTAATTTTAACATTGTTTTCCAAAAAATTATCAAAAGCACCTTTCTGAGATTTTATCAAGTTATCGACTTTTCTTTTTCTTTTAAGTTTTGCATGACCGGGTTCATATTTTCTAGTTGACATATTAAAATCTAACAAATATATTAAACACTATTTACAATATCAAATAAAATATAGGGATAAGGCATAAGTAACCCCCTAGACTATGATCGAAGTCCCAGAAACACACCTAAACTTAACTAAGGTCCTATTACCCCCCTGAACTTATTTTTTTCGTATTTTTGTGCCCCTTTTGTGCTGACGTGGCACCTTCAACCACCCAAGTTGGTTGTGTTTGTACACACTCGCCTGCCATGAGTGTAAATTATTAATTTTTTATTTTTTTAATTAAAAAATTAAATTTTTTCTTAATTTTTTTTTCAAAAATGAAAATTTTAATTTTTAAAAAATATTCTTATTTTCTGTATCTTGTATTTAAATTAAGTTAATACACAATTTTTTTAACTTGTATCAAAACATTTTTTTAACCTACATTCATTGTTTTTTCTCTTTTATTTTTCTATTGATTTTAATTTCTTTGTCTTTCGTTTTGATTTGATTTCAAATTTAATTCCAAATGTCTTGTATTTAAAATAAGTTAATTTTGAACGAATATCAAAATAAGTGAAGAAAATCAAATAAAACATAAAAAAATTAAAACGTTAAAATTAAAGGACACTTTTAATTTTTTTTTTAAATACACGTAATTTTTAAAAAATAATTAAAAGTGAAAAGATAAATTAATTAAAAAAAATTAAAGTGAAAAGAAATTACAATAAATATTTTACAAAGAAAGAAATAAAAATAATTAAATATATACAAGTTTTAATATCAATAAATATGTGTACTAACTAATTATAAAGTTACCAATAAAAAAATAACATGTGTCCAATTTGTGCACTCATCGCTTGCCTTCAAAAGAGTGTGCAGATCTCTTTGCCATGTCAGCGCTTGTAGTGTATTTATTCCATTTTAAATTAGCTTAGGGGGTAATAGGACTCTAGTTAATTTTATGTGTGTCTCTGAGATTTCGGTCATAGTCTAGAGGGGTACTTGTGTATTATCCCTAAAAAATATAATAAACATAAGACACAAGACAAAAATAATATTAGCAATTAGAATGGTATTACCGGATTCAAGAACTATGAAGACTTGATTTCCGAAAATGAATTGGGCTGCTGCGATATATTTTTCTCCAAATTTAAAACATAAACTATAATTTTTTTAAAAATTGAAATTATCAATAGAACAAGTAAATTCTTAAGTTTTGAATAAGAGAGAGATGTAAGATTAGAAAAGAGAGGAAGAGACAATGATAGAATATATAAAAATAAAATTAGAAAAAGAATAAGGTAAAAAAAAAAAAAGATAGCTTGTACAGTTAAAAGAAGGCAGAATGACCTGGGAGATCCTTCTACTTTACTCTGTTTGTCACCTGGACCCTTCTACTCGGCACTTTGCCAACTGAACACTTAAAGTTATTAAAACATATTATTTTAAACCCCTCTGATCATGTGTGTCTCTCAATCGTGCTGATATGGATAACACCTCACTATTCACATCAGATATATATTGCCACGTCATTTTTTTTATTACAAATAATATTTTTAAGGGAAAATGCACCAACTTATGTCCGAAATCTCAGAGACGCACTTATACTATACTAAGGTCTCATTACCCCCAAACTTATTTTATAAATAATTTTCTACCCCTTTTCGACCTACGTGACATTATCAACCAGATAACTTGAAAAAATTGTCAACATGCACTGGGCCTAGAAGATAATGACACGTAGGCCGAAAAGGGGAAGAAAGTTATTTATAAAATAAGTTCGGGGGTAATAGGACCTTAGTATAGTATAAGTGTCTCTCTGAGATTTCGGGCATAGGTTGGGGTTACTTCTGCATTTTCCCTATTTTAAAATATAAATCTCAAACTAATCTCCAAAATCCTTTCTTTCTTGATTTCTTTCCAGTTTTCTTCTCTTGCCATATTTTTCATGTATTTTGGTACTTAGATTTTATGTTATCATTCTTTTTTTTTTCTTTCCTAGTGATTTTTTTTACGTTGAAGAGGAATTAGCGATAAACAAAGCTTTGTTATGTTTTTTATGATAATTTTTGTTATTTTAATGGTGGTGAGAAATAAAGTGTCTAAAATGGAGGATGAGAGAAAGAAGAGAAGGAGACCAAAATGGGTCATTATAAAAAAAACTCTTCCAAAATGCTCTCAATAAAATTGTGTTACATTTAGAAAGAATCAAATATATGTTTTTCAAAAACCATCTAAAATCTGTATTTATTTCACAATTTAGAACATCTTTTTTTCCCCTCTCTTCTACCAAAATCTAAATAAATTTATTATTCCCAATCATTGTAGAACTCTCAAATGATAGGAAACATATGAGAAGAGAAAGAGGAAGAATTGTGTGTAAGAACATTAGAAGAAATCGAAGAAGATGTGCATGTGGTGATGGTGGGTGTTGGGTGAAATTATGAGGAAGAAGAAGAAAGTACAACGTATTGGGAATGGAGATTTTTTTAAAAAAATTTTAAAATCGTTAATTTTTCTTTTAATTTAAATATTTGTTAAAATTTAAATAATTGTCTTCACTTGCTTTTAAATGTGTGTAACCACACTCTTGATCTGATTCAGCAAAAAAAGCCACATAAGTTAGTCAATGATCAAAGGGGTTTAAAATAGTATGTTTTAATAATTGTAAATGTTCAGTTGATAAAGTCGTGAGTAGAAGGATCTAGGGGACAAACAGAATCAAGTACAAGAGTCTTTCAGCTCATTCCGCCTTAAAAGAAAGTACGTATTATTTTTTATTGGAAAGATAAAAAGTAATAGTCATATCAAATCACCTCATTTAATGCCATTTGGATTTGGAGTCTTAATTCTAATTTATTTATTATTTTAGTTTAATCCTACCTATTTGGATTTGGAGTCTTAATTCTAATTATTATTATTATTTTAGTTTAATCCTACCTAATAAACTAAAAAATGAGGACCCTAAAATTGGGGGCTAAGGCCAAAGTCTTTTTTTCCAACCCTTTCCAGCCGCCCCCGAGTGGTTGTCATTTTATAGTATAAAGTTCAGTGGAGACTTTCATCAAACACATTGTAGACAGTTTTGAACAGCCAAAAAATCTGAGCATTTAGTAAGCCAACTAGAAGCAGAGTTGGAAAGAATCTAGCAAATTGGTAAAATATTGAGGAAAAAAAAAAGAAAAGGAGAAGAACCTGTTCTGGTGCTGCAATCGCCGATGTAGACTGATGAGAATTTATCCCTCAAATTATGGTGCACGTGAACCCATGACCTCACCCCTCAAATTGATCTAATATTATTTGTTGATATAGAGAAGAGTGAATGGTGAATTATATACCTAGAAACAACGACCAAATTCCCCCTTAATACTTTCTTTTTCCTCCTTTCATTAGCCATGCATTCATATTCTAGAAGTTCTAGATTTACTTACGAGGTGTAGACTTTTATTAGTAGTAAAAGCCTCAAAGCAAATCAGGCCAAAAGTTATCTTACTAATCCCAATACGAACAAGAAAGAGAAAAAAAATCAAATATGATACAAATGCTATTATTTGAAATAAGAAATAAAAAATCAAATATTATTGCTTCAAAGTAACTTGATGATCTTGCTCTTTGTTTTGCAAATCAATTAAATACATTGAATTACACATGGTCTTGGCAACTTGCCTCACGGAAAAGGATCTTGGAGGTATATCAAATCTCTTAGAGTCGATATGCACCTACACATCTTGATTTTACTCTATCGGGAGTACGTACTCCATGTATTGCTTGACGTAAAACTGATAGTGAATTCCTCTCGGATGATTTAGGTAGATGTCCAGGAGATGCATCCTAGCTGCTCTAGCCACACTTGAAAATAATTCCAAACAACAGATTCTTCATCCATGTTCCGAACCTTTGTGCATTAGATTTTTAATGAGACTATTGTCCGTTGTTTCTCAGCTATCAGAACAAGAGTGTGAGATTTAACCATAAACGTTGTATATATGTATTCAACATCAAGACACCAACATGATTAGTCCACATTATGAAACAGAAGATAAATTTATCCCAAAGGAAAACAAAAGTTCAAGATGATCATTTATTGATCAAAGTCACTGAGGCAACACTGCCAAAACAACACAACGAAGGACAGATAGCATTTCTCAGTACTAACCATATGCATCAGGCTTCCACTAAACTTTCTACATTGAGCTTGAAATCGCCCTCCGGAATAGTATGTGCTTGTCACCTTGGAACGGGGATAGTAGTTCTTTCAGCTTCCCTTATATTATC